AACTTACCTGCAACCCGAGAAGAGCGTGTTCATACAAACATCTGCTCCTTTTCAATCCTACCTGATCTCAGTAATGCCTTCTTATAATGAATTCCACAAGCAACATGGGTGATATGTATAGAAACAGTGTTCTTTTGTCAGTGTTACACTATTGCCATTCAACATAATACTGCCCTCTTAAACACCATGCAATATAAACAGGCGTGTTTAGTTTCCTTTCTTTTCATTTGGCAGTAGGGTCTTTCCATGCCCATAGCCACTTTATCCCATCTGTACTTTTTGTTAGAGAGAGGCCATAGACAGAGTATCTAGAAATGAAAACAAGATTATGTATTAGAATATACACACAAGCATTAAACGTTTCGCAGTTTTTCAGAATGTTTCTTTCTATGCCATCTTTACATTTTCTTTGCCTAAAAAACATCAAACCAAGAAGCCTATCATCTCCCACTCACCCACCAGGGAATGCTGCCAGCAAGCTATCCTGTAGGGATGCATTTTTGGGAATTAATACTGCTATTGCTAGGTTTTTATTGGCATTTATATAATCAAAGTCATTTCTGCTAGCATACATTTCTTTTGCATTTGTAGCAGTGAATTCCCCATACCACTGTCTGCAATCTCTGGAAAGTTTCTGAGTTTGTAACACCCTGCAGATCACCACTGACAGGAGCTCTTAGCCTGGCTGCAGGAGCAGCAAACCGCTAGGCAGCCTTCTGCAGGCTGGGAAGTTATTAAAGAAACAAGCTGTAAACTGTAACCTCAATAAAGGTGCTATTATTATGTTTTCATGCTGCAGGATGAAGTTAATTTTAAAAAGACATTCCTGTGCAAAGTGTTGTCATAAGGGGACAGTAGCTTTCATTACCAGCCATACTTTAGGGAATTACAACCTCAGCGATTTTGATTTGCACCAGACAGGAAGTTGCTATGCTAGTCATTAGCCCAGATGTTAATTTCCATCTAAATATTGCTCTAATTGTGTAAAGAAATTTGTCATTTTGGAGACTCTTGAGTTACTGCATTCAGCAAAGTGTGTGATTTTTAAACCTATATTTTCCAGGGTTTTCTTTTTGTTTTGAGACTGCGATGACAGTTTGAGCTCAGGTACTTTTAGTTTTGTGCAGAAGAAATTAGAGGTACTAGAATCATAGCTGTTTTTCACCAGTGTGCAGGCACAGCTTTGAAGATACCTGCAGGCAGACCCTACATGACATCGGTAGGTTTCCAACCCGAGCACAGGTTACAGGATGGAGTCCATCACCAGTGTAAGGCTGGATTTACCAGCATGCTGACAGATTAGCCAGGACTGCTGTAACCAATGTTTGATTTCAGAAAATACCAGTCTCCAATGCAGAAACCAGAGCAACTTGGGATGCTGGAGCTGCCTTAGGCAGCTTCAGGCCACGCAGCGACTGCCCCTGTGGAGGACTTGTCCTTAGGTGTCTGCATCACTCAGAAAGGGTGTTAAGGAAGCAGATTAAAGCACTGGGCCTCAGTGTTGTCTAAAACACTAGGTTTTCACTATTTCTGCATGCTTGTCATGTAAAACACAGAAATGTCATAGCCCAATTAAGCAAAGTATCCCTACTCATGCGCATATAAATCCCATCTTCCTTCCTTTGCCACTGCAGATGTTAAAGGTGCTCCCATTTACTTTTCCTTTATCAGGCTGGTTCCTCAGGTCTCTGATTATTCAGCTGAGTTTTTTTTTTGGCCTCCATCCCTCCATCTTATTTTTGGCCTCCATCCCACTCCCCAGCCATGAAGGAGCCTTTGCAGCAGGAGGCAGATGCCTCTGTCCCAGCAGCAGCTTTTGTAATGTTTGAGTATGCTGTTATGTTTTCTGCAGCTTGCAAAGCAACCCAGGTGCTCCACACTTGGGGCACAGATTGATTATGTTTCTTTGTAAAGGACATATTATAACTGCTGCCTGAAGCCTGCCTTAGCTCAGCTGATCTCTGTCAGCTCTGATCAATAAGAGTGAGCACTGAGAAAATGCAATAAATGCAGTTTATGAAACCAAAGGAGTAGATAAACCAGTGTGGAATCTGATACCTATTCTTCTTCCCTCCCTACACAGAGTGTGAGCCCATAGAAGCTATAGCAAAGTTTGACTACGTTGGAAGATCTGCACGAGAACTCTCTTTCAAGAAAGGAGCTTCCCTTCTGCTCTATCACCGAGCATCTGAAGACTGGTGGGAAGGAAGGCACAATGGAATTGATGGCCTTGTCCCTCACCAGTACATAGTGGTGCAGGATATGTAAGCAGTGTCTGGTGTGACTAGGTTCTTAGTGGGGTGTAAAAATGCACTGAATTAATTAACAAAGTAGTTTCCCAATGGAACAGTGGCTTGAAGGGTCAGATAGATTAAACATTTGCCTTCTGTGCAGGATACCTCTGTCTTTACTGCCCTGAATTGACAGCTCTTAATCAAAAAGTACTGCTAGGCTAAGCTACCTTGTTTAGAGGTGTGTTCCCAGTGCATTAAGGAGCAGGTATTACTGCACCTATTTTAATTTTACTATCTCTTTGCAGCAATTGTTGACATTTAACTTCAGAATAGCAAGGGCTGGAGAAGTGCAACCCTGAGCTCTTGTTTTACAGTATTAAGCATGTACTTTGCCAAGGATAATAAAGTTCTTCCTTGCAGGAAGATTACGCATGAAATGTAAAGAACTCAGTAAACAGAAGGATTATAAGGGATTTCTGGAGACATGGAGGGGCTGCAGTGCATTAGAACATGTCTGCTTTCCTTAAGGGGGTAAATATCTGAGAGTACCAAGGTGCTCTCTGTCACACTTAACTCAGTAACTTCTCATCTCACTATGTGTGTTCTGTTCAGGGATGATACTTTCTCAGATACACTGAGTCAGAAAGCAGACAGTGAGGCCAGCAGCGGACCCGTAACTGAGGATAAGTCATCATCAAAGGACATGAATTCTCCCACTGACCGTCACTCTGACGTGTATTTAGGAAGGTAAGCTTGAGCGTAACGTGTTTGCAGTAGTGCTGCTCACAGCTCAGGTAACACGGCAGTCACCTCTCCACGTGTTGATGGTGGGTCACTGTGACTTGTCCTATAACCACTTCTTCATTGGCGCAGGCAACGAAAGAGATCAGAACCTCCGCCTCCTTTAAGACGCCCCGGCAGGAGCAGTGACGGTCACTGCCCAGTACACCCGCCTCACCCTCTCTCCAACTCGTCTGTGGATCTAGGTTCCCCCAGCCTGGCAACTCACTGCAGTCCTAGAGCCCTCCTTCAAAATCGCAGCCTCAATGCCGACAGCCCTGAGAGGCGGCGTAGGCCTGGACATGGCAGTCTCACCAACATCAGTAGGCACGATTCTCTAAAGAAGATTGATAGCCCTCCAATTAGAAGATCTACATCATCCGGTCAGTACACGGGTTTCAATGACCATAAACCACTGGACCCAGAGTCAATAGCTCAGGTTTGTGTTTCCTTTGTTTCACGTCACTCTTTGATTTTTCTGAGGAGTGAGTCTCAGTGAATAGCACAGCACAGAGCATATATGCTGGTAGGGGTGGGTGTGCGGGAGAATATCCTACTTAGCTTTCTAAACAGAGTGTGTGTGAAAGAAGGTGCACTAAGTGATCCTGGATAGAAGCAGCACAAGGGGGAGAAGACATGGCAGAAGCAATAAAAAGAAATTATTTCCCATTATACTGTAATGAAATTGCCTCTGCCACACGGAACAGTAGGATAGTGTATGATTACAACAGCTGTGTAAACCACTGTGCTCTGATGAAGGCTGGCCTATTCTACCTCGCATGTAATTAGTGTTCAATTATTTAGCAATATTACAGTATGTAGAAAAGTGCTTTGATGGGCTAGCAGCAACCATTGCCATTCAGAGCACAGATTTACACTCCAGGGTGTTGTGAATTTGAGGTAGTTTTTGTGTAGTCCATATATAGTTCATACTGTATGTTGATTTGATGCTTGTAGTTGTGCCTAAGAACATATATAAGGTGCAAGACATTGCACCTGCATTAATCATGGGACATCTTATCCCCATGTGAACACTCCCCAGTCTCATTCCTGGCAATGAAGAGCTGAGAAGGATGGAATAGGGAGCACCCCAAACATCAAATTGTTCAGTTGTACTGAGCTGGTAACAGCTCTTGAGCAAATAGATACTGCTGTCTGCAAAACTCTCATTTTGTCTAGGTGGGATAACATGATTACCAGGGGCACCCTGAGGGTACAATATGGTTGCAGAAGTATTTTACAATAACTCTAGCACTCATGTTTTAAAATTTAATGTACTGGTAACACTTGCTTTCAAACTCTGCTTCTGGCGAGGAATAGAATGGACTGTCATGCTTGGGTCAGAAAGATGAACTATGTATTAGAGTTAGAAAGTGTAAATGTTGTTACTGTTTTATTTTACTCAGAGTTATTTATTCACTTTCCTAGAACCACATACAGTGCTGTTTGGCTTAAGCTATTTACTTTTTTTATGCCTAGACTCGTGATCATTCAGCAGTGAAAAAACTGTGAAAGTCAGTGTGAGCAAGCAGGAAACACCAGATATTTTAAGCTTAGTTGTATCTCAATGCCACTGAAAAGTAGTAAATTCATGTCTTGGTGCATTCTTTTAACATTCGTGCCAGAAATCCTGATGAAAAAATTATTTCTTATGTAAGCTCACTAAACAATATCTTGCAGGTTTTCCTGCTTAAAGATTTAACTCAGAAACACAAGAGGAAAGAAGAGCTGATAGACACACAAGTTTTATTTCCTTACAAAAACAGGTTTTATAATCCATTTGAGGGAGTACAGACCCTGAACACCTGAGGCACTAGACAAGGGGAGCAGTTAGTGAAGAGTTAGCAAATGGACTAAAATCTCTACACCTGTCAGTTCATAAGAGATGACAGAAATCTTCACAGTTAAAAACACTACTAAGCAAATATCCATTGTTCTGAGAGTCAGTTCATAAAATGGCTTGCAAGTTTTGGTTTAATTGATTTTTTGATTCTCTCTTGTAAACAGATTAAATGTTTGTAATGTCCAACCAAAGCTGCCAAGTTGTCAATCATAGTGTCTTTCAAATAAATGTAGTGGAATTTGGTTTTAGTGCTATAATACTCCTTAAAGAGAGGATGGTTGGCAATTTAATTCATGCATTTTTCTCCCCCTCCCTTTGCTACTCTGGTGCTTTGCATTCAGTAGCAATTTGAATGACCTGCTGCTCTCTGTGCTCTGACACAGGACATCGAGGAGACGATGAACACGGCGCTGAATGAGCTCCGTGAGCTGGAGCGGCAGAGCTCGGCCAAGCACGCTCCTGATGTTGTGTTGGACACCTTGGAACAAATGAAGAACAGCCCTACCCCTGCCACCTCCACGGAGTCACTCAGTCCTCTCCACAGTGTCGTTCTAAGGAGCTCCGAACCTCAGATCCGCCGTAGCACTAGTTCTTCCAGTGACACCATGAGTACTTTCAAGCCCATGGTGGCCCCTAGAATGGGAGTACAGCTGAAACCTCCTGCTCTTAGGCCAAAACCTATTGTTCTTCCAAAAACAAATCCTAGCATAGGGCCTTCCCCTTCTTCCCAGGGTCCAGCTGACAAATCTTGCACAATGTAGACAGCTCAGCCACCCACAGTGCCTGGCTGGGGTATGCTAGGGAAAGGGATGGAGTAACAATAGAAGTCAGGGCTCTGTGACATCATTTGTTCATGTTTGTAACTGGAGAGGTTTTGTTTTTCAATGTTTTTGAATATATTGTCTGAAACTAGCTACATTAACATGGGCATTTGTATTTTGTATGGTTTCGATTAAAAGAAAAACTGGACAATTGTGCATCATTTTAAAAAACAAACATAGACTTACTTGAAAACTTGATGCTGCACCATTTGTAATAAAATCAACACGGATCACAAACAGCTTGCCACGTTGTACCATACTTCACAGTCTTACTGTAGCTATATAATAACAGATCCTGCACAAAAATAAGGGGCGGGGGGGTCAGGGGAGGTGGGACCTCTCACTTCTGGGTCACCAAACCAAATCTCAAGCAGGTTAGTAAGAGCTGAAATCTAGCATGTGAGGATTAAGTGTCTGTGTGGAATGTTTAAGTCATCTCAGGCCACATTTCTTATTTAAGACACAGCAAAAAAAAAATGAAAGCCATCACCAAACCCTCACAACTCTCATAATTGGCACTAAGGTTAGCTTTCTTGTTGGTGGTCTCACCAGAGACAAGTGCTAGGTGATGTGGAGATCACATTGCTCTCACCGGTAAAAGGCAGCATTCCAGGTCACAGCTAAAGCACATCTCCAGGATAGCATCTAGAAACTCCCTTTGCTGCCCTCTGTAGTAGTGTACCTTTTCCCATGAAGCTAGACCTTCATTCCCTGATACCTCATTTTTCACGAGAGCTGAATTCATTTAAAGTCCATAGTTGAGTGAGCCAGGCTCTGGGAAGTACGTGAACCTGGCGGTCCATTATGCAGGCTGATAGGCGATTGGAATGATCAACTGCACAGTAGTTTGGCAGAGTCTCCTGTTGACTTTATTGCTCAGTGTCCAATTAAAGACAGGATTTGAGTGGTAATAGTCAGAGTTTGGAGCTGACCCAGCTCCCCTGGCTGCCTTGCCCAGTGCACACACTGCGCACGTCCCCATTATGCTGACAGCAGCAAGACGGGGACTCTCTGAAGAGGGGCCTCTGCCTGCGGCGATGCAGGGTCGCTCACAGGACAGGCAGCTGACTTCCTGCAGCCTCGATTCAACCTGACTAAAGTTTTCTGCAATCACTTCCCCCTTCCCCTTTCTTTTTGAAGGACAGAAACCAGTACCTGCCTTCTGTCTGTGTGAGTGACGGCTGTCAACTTTTCTTAGCGCTCTTTGTTAGACATGAACTAAATGTACAGCTGTTTTGCACATTGCGACAGTAAGCCATAATATATTTTCCAACATCCAATTCATAAAGTAAGTTTCAGTGAAGAAGATGGGGAAGAAAAAAGTTCCATTGTGGTCCACCTGTAGGAGTACAACTAGCTTTAAGTAAGACCTGTCTTTCCACGTACTCTTTAAGATCTTGCTGTTGGAAAGCTTGAAGTTGTACCACTCACTATACGTAAAAGTAGAGTCTGGGAGAAGAGTAGTGACAAAATTTGATGGGCATAATCAATTACTGAGGTGACAGGAGTATTTCCTGTTGTTACTTAGGAGCAACTTATTCCTGCTCTAGTTTACAAGCTGTAGATAGGTAATACAAAGCCCCAAGTGTGAAGAGTCCACCTCAGAGACCCAAACTGCTCTGAGTATTTGCAAACCCTTCTCAAACCAGCCACAGACTTCATGCACATGTAGGTTAGAGGCACAGTCTTAGTCCATTACAGCAACTGTGCAGCAGTGGTCAGTGAACCTCTGGTCCTCTCGTCTTGGCTGCCTGGTCCTAACACTAAGCCAGGCCAGCGCTGGGCTATAGGGTCTGTTCACTTGGTTGGGACCAGAGCTATTTTTGAGTAGTTCCCCAATGTACTAGTCTCAGTGGAACAAACTGGAATTTCAGCTTTCATTGACATGCAGTTTTAGTCTCATGCATTTTTCAACCAACACACCTGGCATAATTGAGATGGATACCTGTATCTTTAAATGGCATAGGGAATTTTGTATGTTTAAATAACTGTACTGGACTCCATAATGCTTATATTAGAAATTGTTTAGCAAAAGAAAATATTAGAAACAGTGCATTTAGTGAATGCATCCACTTAGTGCATTCACACAGTTAAATGTGTAGTTTGATGGTTATTATAGATACTTAAAAGTATAGTAAGTGGATATGTAACAGGAAAGACTGCTACAACTACAGACGTACTAAAGGGTAACTCCTGCACACCTAATCCAATCAGTATTGTCCTTTACTGTCAAGTTTGATAAATTGCAGTACTGGTAGCTTCCTGCTTGTTGACTGTTACCTAATTGTGTCAATGTACATCTGTAGTATGTACATGTGAAAGTGCCTTTAAATTTTAGAGGAGCTTTAGCCTTGCTCTTGTACTGTTGCATTTCCATTGCATCCTTCCCTGTTCGTGTATGGCTGCATTCCCATTGCATTCCTTCCACTCTTGAAGAACAAATAAAAACATGGAATTTTCACGGTTCTGGAAGAGAAATGTACTGTTAATCTGTTGTGACAATGCACTTTTATGTATAGTACTGTACATTTTTGGCATGTACCATTACAAGCTTCAGTATACATTCAGGTTTGTTCCTCATAGTGTATCTTTATAATAAAGAAGATAGTTCTGTCTCTGTGTGGAGTTTTGCTGAGCAAACCACCGTGTATTCCAACATGGATTGCCAATCTACCGTCCGCATAAAGGGAATGCTATTGGCAGTTCCTAGCCACCCACACCCCACCCTGCATCAGGTCCCATCACTGTCTCAGCCTGAAGAATTCTCGTTCCTGGACAGACTCCTACCTATCTTAAAAAACACCATTCCCATAAGCTCACTCAATCCCCTCCATACCTGAAGACCACCCCAAAAGAGCCACCAACCTCATGCAGTTCTGCCTGAGCGCCCACCAAGGGCAGCCAACCCCACTGCCACTGGCTGGGGGGGTTCCCCCCAGCCACCCAGTAAGCCACCAACACCCTCCTGCTCCACATGGGAATAACAGGGTGAAAACAACACGCCAGCTTCCACGTTTTATAAACACAGTCCCAGAGTGAAAAGCATAAGGAAGTCTATGTGGGGGCATTTCCTACAGCAGAAAGGGTGCCACCGTGCTGGGGAGGGAGGGAGGGAGGAAGTGCCACGGGTCATGTTCAGTACCCTTGTGTCCCAGAACTGGTGGCAGTGCACACACCTCCACAGCTGGCTGTGAATGTCGGGCTGACATCCAGCTGTGGATCAGACGCTGTCGAGGATGACTCCTGGGCTTGGACTACAGCTGCCCAGACAAGCCCGCCATGCTGCCCAACTTACATGTGTTTAGGGGGAGAAGGGCTACGTGGAGACACGTTTCTAGTCCTTGCTTAGGGGCCAGTTTTTAGGTCATCTGGTTGTGGCTGAGGACCACCATCTGCCCGGAAGTAAGAAGGGGATGGGCGCCAGGCGGGTCAGGGTGAGACGGGCACAGAAGCCACCCCAGTTCAGAGCCAGGCCTTTGTTCTTCACCCTGGAGAAGCTGCTGTAACACACCTGTCCATCAGCAGGCTCGTTGATCAGCCTGTGGTGGCAGCCTTTGTATGGTGGCAGCCTTTGTATGGCAGCGTCCAGTGACCTACTTCGGGTGTTTCTTCTTGTCCCCTACTGCACAAAAGCTGACTAAGACCTGCAGAAGGGACAGCAGAGGTCACTCCTCATTCAAGGTCCTGCGCAGCCTGGAGAACACATAACCCAGTTTCCACAGTCAGCTCATACACTGGTGAGGACAGAGGCTTCTGTAGTGGCTTTTAATCTGTTTTAAGACAAATAAGAAAACACAATAAGAGGGCTCTCCTCCTGTTGTGTAACATGAAGTTTCAGTGTTGTGCTGTGCTGACTTCTTAGCTTGCTGCCAGGCTTTGTAGTGGAGAAAAGCCCAGTTCTCATGGAGACAGCCAAAGGCTTTGGCAGGTGATGAGGGAACGGCTGACTTTGCTGGCACTTGGAAAAACAAAGAGGCGATGACTTGTTCTGCTGAGAAAAGTGCATTAACTGAACAGAAAATGAGCAGCAGTGGCATGGGGTGTTTAGCTCTCAGGCCACCATTGAAAATCACTGTTTCAAGCCACATGCAGCTCCAGGACGTGGCACTGCCCAGCTTGCACTAACGTGTCCTCAGCCAGTGTAAAGAAACCACAGAGGCTCAGCCCAGGTTTTAAGGTCTCCTTGGTAGAAGTGCATGTTTTGATACTTACTCTGCGGCTCACAAGGACTTACCCTGCCCAGAAGGGTCTGCAGTTGCTCTGGTCAATCATTGCTGCTCTGTGGGACAAGCCTTGGCATTAGTCTGGATGGTGCTCATACATGGGGAGCAACTGAGACTGGCCTAAGTATTAACTAGTGATGGTACAGGACGAAAGTACCATTCTTGTAGGTAGGAATATTGCTTTTTTTTCATTAATTTGGCTCTTCAAGGGGGGACAAAAAGAAATATATATATATAATATGAAAACCCAAATAGATTCACAGTTCAGCATCTTAAAATCCAATTGGCTAAACCAGTTCAATTACTGTTAAAAACAATCCAAACCAGGCTTGTTCAGCCTGGAGAAGAGAAGGCTTAATGGACACCTTAGAGCACCCTTACAGTACCTAAAGAGTGCCTACAAGAAATCTGGAGAGAGACTTTTTAGAAGGACATGTAGTGATAGGACAATGGGGAATGGCTTTAAACTGAGGGGAGGTTTAGATTAGATGTTAGGAAGAAATTCTTCACTACGAGGATGGTGAGACAGTGGCACAGGTTGCCCAGAGAAGCGGTGGCTGCCCCATCCCTGGCAGTGTTCAAGGCCAGGCTGGACAGGGCTTTGAGCAACCTGGTCCAGTGTGAGACATCCCTGCCCATGGCAGAGGGGTTGGAACTCTGTGATCTTTAAGGTCCTTTCCAACCCAAACCATTCTGTGATTCGCTAGTTCAGACATGCCACTGTAATTGCAGCTAGTCCCTTGCTTTCTCTTTTACTCAAGGGTATTTGTAGGTCACGCAGCTGACAGCACCGGTGTCTGGTGGCACTATGGCTCCTGCAGGCCCAGCGTGAGCAAGTTTTCTTGCTGGGGGACCATGACACTGGGATCCTTACGATGTGGAAGAGCCACTCACTCTGTCTGCCGCAGTGCTGCAGCCTGGAGAACATAACTGATGCACCGTCCCAGCCGGATGGGACAACAAAACATGAGTGGTGGCACTGAGCCATACTGAAGGGAGAAAAGAGCAGTCTGTTTCCTTACCTCCTCTCTCAGGTGACAGACACGGTGAGAACCAGCAGGCCCAAGGGCTTGGAAGGTGACACGCAGAATTTGATGCTGACTGAGGGATTAAACAGCATTAAGTAACATAAACCAGGTCCAGATGAACCGGGCAAGTCATCAGGTTTCCTCTCACCTTTCTCAATACATACGTGCAAATAAAAACATGCAGAAATACAGTGTTTATGCCCAGCTCTGCAGCAGCTGAGCCTGTGCCCTGGGGCTGCGCAGGGATGGTGCATCCCCTGTTGCATGGCTGCCATCTCCCAGGAGGGTAAAGCCATACTGGTCACTGCACATGCCCAAGAGCAGCTTTGGGCTGGAGGTTTGGGGTTTCCTTTTTGTAATTAACAAGCTGCATTGGTTTGATTGAGGGTTTTTTCCAAAGTAGCACAGTAATGGAATAGGAGCACAAAGTACAAGGTGAAAAAAATGCAGCTGTAAGACACAGACAAGTTGTGCTGCACAAAGGAGGTCAGACACTCGCGGGATTGAAATCAATAGTAGCTGCACTCAGTACAGTAGCGTGGATAAAC